GCTGCACACTTTGCGAGATTTACGTGCACGAGCCAAACAGATTAAGGCAATTCTTGCATCTTGACGTGCAACTTAAAGATGCAAGAATATTTGGTAGTGCAACTTGGCTTGCATCTGCGAGCCAAACACACCCTAAATGTCGGAGCTCTTGCCCTCCACAATAGTCTCGGGACTTTTGTGTTCTAAACAGCGTTTATAAGACGTTATAGGTTTTGCACGTTATGAAATTTAACAAAGCATTTCAAGCCTCCTCAAGTACATTGCGAAAATCGACATTAATTAAAAGAAATACATCTACTTCTTTGCTATATACCTCTTCACTTCCCTGCTTCATGACATTTGTAGAGTTGGCTCTTGCGGCTGCCGATTGCCTGCCTGCTGGTGGCTCCTTTCGATTCGAATTCGGTGATGAGTCTTCACCGGACGCCTTCGACGTGGCGCAGAATCCATTTTGGTTATTCGTAATGAAACAGATAAAGAATTACATCATTCCGTGTTTTTTGGGTACTTGAACGCATGATTTTATGCCGAGGTTATTTCATGCTAAAAGAACACCGATTTCGGAATTATAGTATAGTTTCTGTTTATGGTCCCGTAGCTAAATGCCCGCCAACTGCTTCGAACGTGAAGTGGCAAGAGCAATATAAACGGCGTCAAGCGAGCCCCTGACTTCAAAGCATCACGAAAATAAACAATGCTCGCCCACTCATCAAATAAATCAAACCAACACCTCCTCCCAAAACTCCCATCCCTTGGCTCCTTCAATATCTTCTTATGCTCGCACCCTCTACTTATCGACCACGTCATTGGCTTGCTTGAACGTACTCAGCAATGCCGGCGGTACACCCGCTCCCAGCTTCTCGTTCTCAATTCAATCACCACTCTCCGTCCCGATCTTAGTATCAAGAGCAAGAATCTCTTTAGACCGATTCGTCCAAACAGAGTGCGAGGAACAGCCATTAGCTCTCGTGTCGTACTTCGCACTGCCATGCATACTCTTCCTGGCTTGGCTGTTCGATCATGGCGACACGAAGATTTATGTCTCCTAGATGAGTCCGGGTACAGCATCAATCGAAGATGACTTGGTACAGGGCCACGATGGTGATGCCATCTATATGTGTAAGGTTATTTGGGGGGGTGGAGGGGGGGAAGGTCATTACTGGGCGGAGATTTCCTGTAAGAAAACGTCCAGTCGTCGGCGTCGCTTTCGCAGATAAAATACTCATTCCCATCTTCTGACCCCATATCTGGAAATGTGCTTGGGTAGGTTGTCAAGTAAGTGTATCTATCATGGTCTCCCTACACGTTAAAGTAGACACCCAGTCGAGGCTAGAGAGCCAAGCCGGCAAGCGGCCGGTTGCAGTGTTGCGCAGATTCCGAGATACATCCTCTACTAAGACATTGCTGCTTTTTTGAACTTCTTCTGTTTAATATAGGCTCATGCAAGCCGAAAGGGGGGGCAAATACTTAGGTAGGGTTGCGGGGTGAGGCATCTCATGAGTATATGAGTAGCTAAGCGAGTAGGTGGCAGCTGTCAAGAGTCCAGAGAAAGATTGAAGTGCAGAAACGCTTTAGATAAGGCTAGGGTATTCTGATAACAGTATGCTTATTTTGATAGAATTCCAGTGACATACTATATGTACTATATTAGTGGTCCCTCTTCAGAATATGCGGGAAACGGGGCACCTAGGCATCATTGCATGGCCGTTGAGTTTGTATGTAAGATTCAACGACCAAATCCTGCCGGGCAGAAGGATACAGCTCAAGCAATATGAAGAAGAAGAAAAGCTGGAAGAACAACGAAGTTGGTAATGAAAGCTGAAAAGACGACTAGTGTCGTACAGGATGATGAATTTGCACTGGGCAGTACGATAAGAAGAAGATAGTAGGTAGTTGTTACTTATCATTCAGCAGCGATTGATACATTTAGTGCAAATCTCTATCAGAGGGCACTACTTACTGTACAATCCTCCACTTCTCGTAATCCCGCTTGCTCTACCTCGTCATCGAGGGAGCGTCTTCAAATTTCACCTTGCCATCCCGGCTAACTTCCGCAGTATGAAAACCCGTAGGCACATCTGTAAACTGCTTTGCAGTACCCTCTTCGCTATCCTTTGGTTTGCTAGCCAGTGTGACAGCTTTTTGGACGATTCCGGCTTCAGTATCGGCAATCTCGTTCACATCCCTCGAGGTCAAAACGTCGCTGATACGTGATGCTCTTGAAGACATCAAAATGGTGGTTGGGCCGTGGAATTTGAGGAACAATCGATCTCCCCATATTGTTCTTCTCGCTGCCGTCCTCAAAGTGAACATCAGGTTTGTGATAGCCCTCCAGGTATCGGACTCCTTCATCACCCGGAAGAATTTTATTTTCTGCATCAGACCTCCGACTCCAAGACTGGGAATCTGAAATCGAATATCCGATGAGCGTAGTCTGTAAGGCAATGGAGGGTGTTGCGTGATCGTGTATGCAACGACGTTGCCCGGATGCGCCACATACTCCTCCCCTGCCTTCAGGCTAATTTGATAGACCTGACCAGGTCCAGCCAAAGCAACGAGACCTCTCCCTGTAATCTCTGAATTACCCCAATGAGCAAGACTCATCCCCCTATTCAACGCAGGAGATACGTGAAGTGTATGACCCGTCCATGCCAATAATGCCCCCCGTTGCGCCACCATCCAGTCGACGGTTCCATTAAGATGTAATACAGTAAAAGAAGTGAGAGGCGATCTCGTCGAAATAAGAGCGGTTATGGGACTTGTTGCAGAAATTCTCTGGTATAGAAAGGGTATGCCAAGAAGAGTTCGCCGGAAAGCTGGTAGCATGCGCAAGGTTGATTTGGTCTGTTGAATATCAGCGACTATTTCTTAACTTGCAGCTGAAATTGCCCACATTCTCTGCTTTCCCACTCATTCCAACCAATGTCCCCTTCCTGGTGTACAACTCTTGAGAAGCTGATAAGGAAACGGACAAAAGAGAATATGGCGCGCCTAGGACTTCAAACCGCGCATCTTGTTTAACAACACATTAGCATGATTGCTCAATTGAGCTTGACAGCTTCGACATACCTGAAGAGTCCGAGGCAGCATCAATTGAGCTGCTGAGGACATCGGCAGTGAGTATTGGGGATTCCGTCGTCGGGGTTGCGCTGATTTGAATGAATCGTCGTCCATATCCTCTAGCACAAGGGCGTTGAAGCTGCCCGACGCTTCGGACAGCATTTTCCAGCGGTATTCGACCGCGCATGGCTGGTCGTGAAGTTGGTTGAAGCAGTTACGTTGACAGCTAGGATTCCAAGATGCGATAGGCGTTCTGCGACAAGGGTGGAAGAGAGAAAGAGCGGAAGCGATGAAGCTTGCTGCCAACTTAGCGCAAAATCAACTTGATTCTTGAGTATACAGAACTACTCTCTCTGAAAACCCTCTTCTTTTCCCAATATCAAGTCTGAATAGCTTCAAGTTTGCTGCGTCTACTCTCTACCACTCTCTCATCTTTTCCCCATGGCTTAGTCATCAGTTAAATCCATACTAGGCCGCTTCGAGTGCTAATACTGGGCCCGAAATTTCGACCCGTCGCGCCATCATCTCGGCATCTCAGCCTACCTGCAGTGTAGGTAATGCTTTGCGGGATCTCTCATCACTCGGAACAGTTTCTTCTCGTTTTCGATTAAATTACGAGATTTTTTCTTGGGTAGAAGTTGTTGTTTATTGATATCGCAGCTCCACAACCCGACGACAGCTCCCACGAGCTACCCCTCTACTCCGTATTCTCCCGAATCAACAACACAAAAAACAATGTGGGGAGGAGCTTCTATCAAGCCGGGGCGATAGAGAGCTGCAAATACAGCGAGGATGATTATTCGGAGTCTGCACAGAGCTTCGTGCTTGGGCGTGCGAGCTTCAGTCCGGCCGCAGCAATGGAGTCAATATAGGGCCGAACTACGAGTCTTTACCAGCACAAACAGAGTCTCCAAGGATGATTCTCAGAACACTACGATCCAGGGCGGAGCTCTGCGAAAGCCCAAAGCTGCAGAGAATCAACCAGGGGCCAAACCAGAGACGGCTGAGAAAGTCGCGGCTGCGATTCCTGCTGCTCGGAAAGACCCTCTGGCTCTCGGTGACAAGACCAACAAGGAGCAACGAAAAGCAGATTGGGCTATCATGAAGGAGATGGTCAAATATCTATGGCCAAAGGACAACCTTGGAACCCGGTTCAGAGTTGGACTCTCCTTGGTACTGCTTGTTGGTGCCAAGGTGCTGAACGTCCAGGTCCCGTTCTACTTCAAGAACATCGTTGATTCCATGAACGTGGATTTTGTGGCGGTGGGAGGTACAGCTGCTACAGTGGCGGGGTCTATGATCTTTGCATATGGTATGACCAGGATTGGAGCTACGCTTTTCCAAGAAGTGCGGAATGCTGTGTTTGCCAGCGTTGCCCAGAAGGCTATTCGGAGGGTTGCTTGCAATGTGTTTGATCATCTACTGAGGCTGGACCTGAATTTCCATCTTACGAAACAGACCGGTGGGCTGACTAGAGCCATTGATCGAGGTACCAAGGGTATCAGTTTCCTCCTCACTTCTATGGTTTTCCACATCCTACCTACGGCACTGGAGATCTCCATGGTCTGTGGAATTCTCACTTATCAATATGGTGCCAAATTTGCGGCCATTACTGTCTTGACCATGGTTGGTTATACGGCATTCACAATCTGGACGACTGCCTGGAGAACAAAATTTCGAAGAGCAGCCAATGCAGCAGACAACAAGGGCTCTACCGTGGCAGTCGACTCGCTCATCAACTACGAAGCTGTCAAGTATTTCAACAATGAAAAGTTTGAGGTTAGTAGGTACGATCAAGCACTGAAGGAGTACGAGAAGTCATCCATCAAAGTTGCGACATCGTTAGCCTTTCTCAACTCGGGGCAGAACCTGATTTTCTCAAGTGCCTTGACGGCTATGATGTATCTAGCTGCCGATGGCGTCGCAACAGGGAATTTGAGCGTAGGTGATCTGGTCATGGTCAACCAGCTGGTGTTCCAGCTCTCGGTGCCCCTGAATTTTCTCGGATCAGTTTACCGAGAGCTTCGCCAGTCGCTTCTGGACATGGAAACTCTTTTCAACCTTCAGAAGGTCAATGTTGCGATTAAGGAGCCGCCCAATGCGAAACCGCTGCAGCTAAGCCAGGGAGGCGAGATCAAGTTTGAGAATGTGACATTTGGGTACCATCCAGATCGACCGATTCTGAGGAATCTGAGTTTGACCATCCCGGCTGGGAAGAAGATTGCTATCGTTGGGCCGAGTGGTTGTGGAAAATCGACCATTCTACGTCTCTTGTTCCGGTTCTACGACATTCAACAAGGCCGAATCCTGGTTGATGGTCAAGACATTCGCAACGTTAGCTTGGATTCGCTAAGGAGGGCAATAGGTGTTGTACCCCAGGATACCCCGCTCTTCAACGATACGATCGAGCACAACATTCGGTATGGTGATCTGAATGCCTCTCCCGAAAAGGTTTTGGCTGCTGCTCAAAGAGCGAGGATTCATGACATTGTCTCCGCATTTCCAAATGGCTACAAAACCCTGGTAGGAGAGCGAGGCATGATGATTTCCGGAGGAGAAAAGCAACGCTTGGCCGTTGCGAGGTTGATTTTGAAGGACCCGCCACTGCTTTTTTTCGATGAGGCTACTTCGGCCTTAGATACGCACACGGAGCAAGCTCTCATGCAAAATATCAACAGCGTCTTGAAGGATAAGGCGAGGACGAGTGTGTTCGTCGCCCATCGGCTAAGAACGATTTACGATAGTGACAAGATCATTGTACTCAAGGATGGACAGGTCGCAGAGAGCGGTACTCATCGCGAGCTTATCGATACTGGCGGTGTCTATTCCGAGCTTTGGAGTGGTAAGTCCTCTCTCTTGTTGCCCTTGTCCATGTTCAAATATATAAATAACATGGGTCACAGTTCAAGAAACACTGTTTTCCGACGAAGCAGAAGAACGAGAAATCGAAATCGAGGACGTTGATACTAGCGGGAGACGATAAGACCAACCAAAGTCTTGATTTAATGGATTCACAAGGCGAGAGTCGAAAACCGAATCGTGAATGTATCGATATCCATAGAGAAAATAGAAGAAGCCGCCATTCATACCTTTGGTATGGGGGGGGGGGGGTGGCTGGCAGGAATCTGTAACATCAGTCGCATTCGTACCCTGTGTCTGATTTTTTTGGGGGGGGGGGGGGGGGAGGGGTTAGTAGTTGTACCGGACCCGGACCCCCGGTCCCGTCGGAAACGGACGTTCGTAG